ATTCAGTCACAATTAGATTATTTAGATTGAAGTGTCTATTACAACTCCTTAAAAACATATAGGTTCTCTGTAAAAACACCTCAAAGCTAAACCAGTATGCTCATTAGGAACAGTAACACTTTATTTTTAAAAGAGTACAGTTATTTTTCTGAATTTGCCCAAAAGCATTCCTTGTTTTCTTTCCAAGAATATTCGTCCTCGTAAATCTCCTGCAAATATAAACAAAGAACGGGAAATATTGTGGCAGTCTGCTACATACAGCCACAAGCCAGGCCAAACAACTCAACAGCCATCCTGCTATTATTTACTGATCACAACAGGACTACACAGCACTTGGCTGGCAAACAGAAAAGAGGGCAGCACCCTTAGAACATACTGACTTACATGTTGGCAGATGCTGAACCTCAGGCTAAACCCCATTAAATTTAGAAAGGCCCATCTACACTGAAGTCAATTCAAGAAAGACCTAGAAGAAATGATGTAAAAGCTGCAGCGTACACAGCACTTGTATCTGAAACTGCCCTTTTTACATGTTGCCATGTTAATCTACTGTACCATCATATTTAGGAGAGTACTTACATGTATACAAAATGTCAATATTAATAAAAGTGACAACAACAGACAAAATACATTAAGTATTAGATGTTCAGGACAGACTGGACTACCCAGCAGCAGTCCAGTCCTAAGCAGTGAATTCAGCAGGGCTCTGAGCCCCTGATTATTCTTTCTGAGACCACAGAACTCCAGTCTCCTGAAAGAGGTGTCAGAAAACTGGAGACCTGTTACCACATTCCAAGTTCTGCCTGGGAGAGAAGGCAGACGTAATGCTCTTACTTGCATGCAACACTGTGGTTATGCAATGAGGCTTTTTCTAGAGCCGGGCCGGTCTCTCCACACATTGTTGTGTGCCCATACTAGCTTTGGGACCTCTGCTCATCCCTTCATTGTGTGCTATTGCTTAATGCTTTGTGATTTCTCAAGGCCACGGGGATAAGGGGAAAATGGAAAGACAAGAAATGCCACTTTACTTGCAAACTGCAATGCTATCCCAAGCAAAGCTGACTCAAAGTTCTTCCACAAGCCTGTGCAGAACTCAGTTTTGTCACTCAGAAGTGGAGAGCTCAGGGCTCCTTCACTTTGACCCCAGGATGCCATTAAAAGAGGAGCAGCATGGTACAGGCAAGGGAGGGCCTTCCAGGTGCCCTACCTGCCACAGATGGGCCTGGCTGCGGTAGAAGAAACTCACTGGTGCTACGCATTGGCAACTCATCAGGAGCAACTGCTGCCCATAATACTTCATCTCCTTCCTTTAAGAGCAGCAGCAGACTTTAGCCCAGCAGTCCAAGACTCTGGCACAGGCCTAAAATCAAATTTCTCCCCAAACATACCTTTTTCCATATCGGGACAGATGCTTTTAAGGTATTGATGCAGTACGTTACAGCTTCAAGGGATTCTGCTCTGTGTGGAGAGGAGACTGCAATAATTACACTTGCTTCAGTTATTGGAACCACACTAGGGAGAGAAGAGGAACAACAGCAGCTTTAGCTAATGCTTAACATCAAGAGCACCCAAAAGTTGTGGCCATGTCACGTCAGTATTCTGGCCACATGCTCTCCTGACTCATTCATACTGAGCAAGTGTCAAGCCATGTCCTAAAGATTATAAACTTTTTAAAAGAAAGAAAACCACAACCAAAATCAGTACCAGATGTGAGAACTCCATGCTTTAGAATAAATAAACGCACCAGACATAGGCTTTTTTCTTCCATTCTTTCTTTTCTTTTTAAATAAAGCCTATGGAATTAAGAGGGGAAAATTGCTAACTCGCAACAACACATAGCAAACTCACTGGAAGCTGGCTTAATAATGAACAATAAGAAGTTAGGAACAGCCAGTTCTTATCTGAAAACTAAGGAATCATCTCAGTTTGCACAAGAATTTGTGAAAGAAGAAACTAAGTGCCTTGAACTATGCAGATTTTGCAATGAAACTCAATTTTTGACAAATTCTGATTTCAAATTATGAATTTTTTCCTGTTTGGTGTGTTGTTTTCCAAACTTAACAAAAGCAGCACAAGGTGTTTTTTTGCTCCTCACAAGGGCAGTATTCTCAATAGCTGCCTCCTAACCCTCCCTCTGTAGTAAGCCTTCTCTGGCAAATGGTTCATAGAAAAAAATCTAAGCCTAAATGCTTTGAGCTGCCCTCAAGAGAATCACTCTCTCTGTTGACTATAGAGGAAATCTAAGGAAACTAGCCCTCAGAGCTAATATTACCCTTTATGATCACCTCTTATGTTCCTTCTTCTGAGACAAAAAGAAACAAGCACTTGCAACAGACTGTGCAAATCCTGCTAGTTTCAGTGAGAAACGCGATGATCCATGAAGGCTCAAGAGTATGTCAGACACTAGTATTCCACGTTTTGAACCCAACAGAAGATGCTTATCCAAGATTAGAGGAACAACAGGAGGTTCTCCGGCAAGCACGCCTGGCAATTACCATGTCTCCCCCCTCCCCATAGTCTAAGCTTTCAGGTTCCCTATGGCATAATTTGACTTAAATCTGACAATAAAAACATTCTGCAGTACCTCAACAGAAGAGAGAAGAAAAAAGAAAGTGCTGCCAACTTCATGTCTTCAAAAAAAGACAAAACAAAGCAACAGCCTCCACTTCCCTGGAATGAAATATCAATCCCTTCTCCCCACAGCCAACTTTGCTGCATTACAGTTCACATAGACTCCTGCATGTCCTGCAACTTTGCAAGCACAGCCATGAACCACAGAAGGATTAATACTCCACTTGCAGAAGGACGGGGTCTGGCCATACATACCCAAGTCTATGGTGCACTGCAATATGTTTGACTGATGGCCATTTCTGTCTAACTTCTCTGCAGATTTTCTTTATTTCAGACTCTGCCATTGAAGTATATGCTTCATATTCTAAGTGAATCACTTTTTTCCCTTCAAAATTATTTCTTGTAGTACCTAAACACAAATGATTTATCAACCAAAAGCACTGAGTAAATAAATGTATTATATATTTTAAAAATTTATATTATATTACGCATTTATGATATAATAACGTATTATAGATAAATACTGAGTAAAACTCAGGACCTTCTGCTATGGTCAAGGTCAGCACTGTGCAAATATAAATGGCCTCCCTAACAATGGCTGTGTAAAGAGATTCTTTGAACAAGAGAAATCTTTAATATACAAGGAAGAATTTAGTTTACACGTTGTACAAGTCTGAAGTCTTTAATGCACAAGGCTGGGACATCTTCTGCAGTAACTGCTAAGGTACTATTATTGCATTTGCCCATGCAACGTTCACAGCTATCAGCCTTGACGTTCACCAGCCCACGGTAAAAAGGTACTTTAATTTCAACCAAGATCTGAGTTGCAGGAGCAGGTGTGGATCTGTTCCAGAGTCACAACATCACACTTTCCACCTTGAACAAGCTGTGTCCAAGGGGATGGGAGAATAGCTCCCAAGCAGTCCTATACTCCACAGCTGCTGTTCTGTTCAGCCCTAGGATTGCCACACCAGCAGGGAAGCTTCTCACCACTCTGTCCCAGTGCAACTGTTAAAGAGCTGGCATGGTCTTGTTCTAAATAATTGAGAATGTGTTCTCTAAACATCCTGGGTTCAGTCCAGAAATTTATTTATTTGAGAAGCACGAGTTTGGGGTGTGGACAATCTAGGTTCCATTTATTAGACTATTAACACACCCAGAGATCCAGCTCAGAAATATTAAACTCACCAACGAACAGAGACACTGCCCCACAGCATGGTGAAATGACCAGCTCTGACACTTCATCTACAGAGAGCTTTTCAGACTTGAGCTCGATAAAATCTTTTGGCACATCTTCGCTTTCGTCCATAGCTCACTAGAGAAGCTGAAACCAAACAGACTCTGTTGTTGGTTTTGGCAATACTAGCATTGGCCAACTGCTTTTTATCCAGTGCTGATGCCCCAGTTCATGCAGAAAACATGCACCATCTATTTCCTCACCCCAAGAGGCCAGCCTCCATGGCAAATTCACCTCTCAGCAGACTTGCTGAGAGAATATTAACTGCAAATATCAAGCAATGACCTGGGTTTTAATGCATACAGGTTCCTTCCTGGTAGGAAACTCTGGTCCAGCAGGATGAAACCAGAACTAGTCTGAGGCTCCAGCTTAACAGCACAATCAACCAGCATGGACCACTGTGCTTGTAAATCTGTGGTAAAATAGTCAGCCTCTCCTCCCTATTGTATCCTGAAATCAAACACAGTTTAAAACAGAGATTTCTGATAAAGACAGATTCAAGTTCTAATCCTAAACTTTAACATGTTCTCCATGACATTCAGGTCCTCATACTATTGGCCTGCTTCAGTGATACAGGAGACATTTCTGAGTAGAAACCAGTCATCAGTTCATCTAAGAATGAGGAGGAAAAGAAGTATTTTGAGCAGCAGTAATGGAAGAAGCTGCAGTAAATACACAAGACTGCCACTTGAAAGCATGCAAAGAAATAAAGCTATTCTAAGAACACCTGTTCCTTTGATA